GCACACCAAAAAGAAAGACAGAAAAAATTATATATACTTTGTTCAAACATTTTTATTCATTTCTCTCTCGTTGAATACTCACAAACTCAAAGTAATTTCAATTAAAATCGTTAATTTGATCGACTATTTGTAACAATATTATTTTTTAATACAGTCAATTATTTGTTATTTAATATAAAAAAAAAAAATTTAAGGATGACACACAAATCACATGTAGGCAAAAGTTGCTGATTAAATTTTAATTAAAATTGGATCAAACTTGCTCTATAAGTTTATTTCTATTAATCTAGTCGAAAACAATTAAAAGTATGATAATATCAATGTTATAATTTTACACTCAATATAAATATAAGACACAGTATTACATATATAATAGTTATATTGTTGAGTACAAAATTATTATAACATTATATTATATACATATATATTAATTGACGTCGACTGGGTTAATTAATGTAGATTAACTTTAATCTTGGTTTAATTTAAACTGTTTATCCTTTTCTAATTCTTAGAACCTAGACTAGAAGGTAAAAAATAAGTTAAACTATAGAGTTAAAGTTAAATCTACAATATATATTGGTTGAAAATCAAGTTTAAAATCGAAGAAAAATGAACTGTGCTGTATCATAAATGAAGATACTATCACAAAACTATATTGATTTCATTCCATACAAATTATTACAGGTATATTTGCGATATCACAAGAATCAACAACCTCTACAAGTCTTCGTTTTTACTTCGAATGATGAATAAATCTGATGTACTTGGAGAAAATAACGGATAACTAGCTAGAATAAAGTTTTTTATTACACTGTAACAGCATACACGATTTCTCCTGTGTTGCAGGTAGCTTTTTTCTTTTTTATTACTTCGATAATATCAAGGCGTTCCAACATATCGGTTAGACGGTTATCATGTTTGTCGAATCTAATTTATAGTTACTTTAAAAAATGTATACCGTCGTTTTACGGAAAGATGTACAGGGCGTACCTAATTCAATTCCTCGCAACAATTATCTTCCAGTGATTGTTTAAGAAAACTTATTAAATCAAAGATGTAAATTAAGAAGCTTCGCCTTCTTACTCTGAGGATATTTTATGATTAGTAAAAATTTCCCAAATGGAACCGTTTTGAGATTTATTAACTTTTATTATTTTTATTAAATCTCGTAGATTTCAATTATATGACAAAGATAATAAGAGGTTTCCTTCAAAATGAAGTAATTTTAATCATTTTCCTGAACAGTCACAGGACATAATCATCTGAAGATATTAAAATGTTGTACTCTATTTATTTATGTATAGTCTTCAGTTCATTCTTCAATATGCACCTGTTTCCTATGCGATAAACTGTTCACACTACGTTCTATTTCATTACGATTACGGCTTCCAATAATCAATTAGCAATAATAGGTTTCATAAAAAAAGTACTTCAGGCAATAAAATTGTAGCTCGTTTTGATTTTGTTTCGTCAGATTGCACTCCTACTTAGTGTTACACGTGAGATGACTTAGAAAAAAAGATTACAAAAACATTGATTCATTATCGATGATTCGAATAAAAAGTGAAGATTATAAAAGCGTCATTAATCGTTTTGTCGGGGTGATCCAACACGTATACATATACACTTACTATAAAAAGATATGCGCATAGGTAACATATGCAAAGTGTTACACAAATATAAAATACGTTAATAGTAGTATGCAGGCTTAGAAGCAACTTGTCTTTTATTCTCTTTGTACTTTCAGCAGCAGCAAATGCGTCAATTGCTCCGTATGTCTCTTATAGTTTATTGTGCTGAGACTTTTAGGCGAAAAGGCTTGAATTGTATGGTTTAGAAAAAACGTGAGTATTTTTTAAACAAAATATTTTCTGACATCATAAAAATATTTGATTAAAAGTATTTCGCATTCGATGGGAAACATTTTTGGAGTAAAAACAGACCTTAGAGAGTAGGGTATCGTTAAGAATGATTAAGATAGTTACGAGATGTATGATCAAGGAGCACACAGTCATCGATCGTATGAAAATAGCAGTACAGCATTATTTTTCTTGGCATTTTTTCGATTATTTTCTACGTATGCGTTATTGCGCACACAGTAACATATATACTATAAAATATTTCGCGGACATAAGTAATAAGTATATAAAATATTTAGAATACATATGAATTTATATCTCTTTTCCTTTGTCACAACGTTTCGCAATTTACGCTTCACTACTGCGAACTCTAAGACCTTAAAATTGAATTTATTTAATTTTAAGATCGGATGGAGGTAACATCTAATCTTAATTGCCGAAATCGTGTCGTTTATAACTATACAAATACCTTGCGTTGTATCTAGTTCTTGTTCGGCGCATTTTTAATTATTCTTATTGTTACGAGAGAGCCATGCTTAAGCAAAAATAAAATTTTTATCTTTTATATCTCCCTCTTTACAAATAGCAAAATGAACGAAATTAAAACGTACATTTTTGCTTGCTGTGAACGGTGAGATCTGTATTAGATCTAAATTATATATTCCTTAATATTATTAATGTCACAGTTGGAACAAGCGAGCACAAAGTCGTTTGTAGAAATTCATAGCAGTAGCTTTGCCATTATTTCAAATCCAATAAGTAACAATATCTGTCGATTATTTACAACAATGCTCTAATTAAACAGTTGATCCAATTTTTGGAATGTAAATTGCTACTTCAATAGATTCTTATCAAATTTTCTATTACCATTTCGTAAATAGTTCTATATTTCTGCCTTGAGCTAAAAAACTTTTAATATTTGATTAGCAGTATTCCGTATGGCTTAATAAAAATCCTCGCCCACATTTAGTTAATGAAATTCACTTTTTTTTGTAATGTTTTTTCGTTATTTATTATTGTGTACAAAAAGCATATTCGTACTTATTTAAATTAAAATTTAATATTTATATGACTGGAGATATTTATAAAATCGGTCTATAGTACGCCCCAACTTATTGTGAAAATGTCGTGTGTGAAAGGATTCAAGAAAAAAACAGAAAATCTATTTTTACATCTTGTACTTGTAATTTATATATATGTAAATAAATAAATAAATAAATTTATCTCTTTGGATCTAATGTTTCACAGCAAGAGTAAATAATTCATAGTGTTATTAAATGATTATTTAATATCACGCACTGCATAAATGAGATTGAAGAGGTTTAAGACCTGACTGGTTTCTTACCTGGTGAAATTCGTTTAAACTTTACACTGTCTCTTATAACAATAACAACAACAATAACAATGAGTACAATAATTACAATAATTGCGATTTCTTATAAATATTATTTCGTTTAAAGAACATTATTATTGATTTGCATGTGAGGAACATAGATTACGATGAAGTTTGACATAAAATATGTCGAATATATTCGTGGTAATGCAATTGCATTTTTCGATGCCAAGCGAAAAAGCGTTTGTAGATAAGCGAAAACATTATTAAACGATTTAGACACATCGTATGTACACTGCATCAGTGTACTTTACTTAAATTAAATTAAGCGTTCAGAAGATCGTTACAAGATAGAGCGATAAGTCTTATCTTTGGGCCCTGAACTTACGTATTCATACTTAGCATCTGGAAACTTTTGTCCTTTGATTACATATTGCGAGCTAAGAAGAGTAGCTAGTACGAACATGTAACAAAATTTTAATAATATATATTCATTAAAATATCTTCATTTCTCATTAATGCTCTCAAATGCATTTTGTTATATTCCTGTTCTGTTTTAATTGTTTATATACAATAACTATTTAAAAATTTTATTTCTCTATGATAAAACGTTTGTTCAGTAATTCTTATAATGTATCATATGCTATGTGTATGTGTTTTGAGAGTTCAATATAGATCTGGTTCTTTTTTTAGTTGAATTTTTACATAGTTTACCTTTTCTCTTTTTTTTCCGACACAAACAAAAGGGAGAAAAGGTGAACCTGAAATAAATAGGTCTCATGCATATTAATTACGACATGCTTGTTACTAATTTTAAGCAGGATACACGGCAGTCAGACACCTAATATAGCACCGTATAGTTCTTAGCCCCAAGTTTTAAAAATGAAATCAATATCTTTATAAGAATGTGAGATCGAAAGCCAGATTGCCAATGTTAAAGGAATGAACAAATACATAAAGAAATGTTCAAATTATCAAAATAAAAGCAAGTGAATATTTTTTATCTTGATAAAATCACCTTTTTATAAAATGTCAGAAACTTATTTTAATTTAAAAAATGTGCTATTAAATATACATTACAAAAACTTAAAATTGACAATTTGGCTAGTTTCAATCAATATATGCAAATAAACTTTAATTAATCTCACATAAATATTTCAGAAGGTTTAGGAAGTTCAGTTTTTTTTATATAAGAGACAATATTAGAGACAATATTTATATCGTTGCGTTCTAGTAATAAAAAGAATTTTATAAATGTTTGACAGTATCCGATTAATAAATCGATAATTTTCAAATATTTTTATATAACTAATCGGATTATATATATATATGTAATGTACATATATGCACACGTATATGCATGGATAATATATATATATAAATATATATGCGCATATCTCTGTGTTATCATACACAATTTTTTTTTCATGCTTACTTTTATTTATTTAACGACACATTAGAAAAATGCAATCGTGTTTTAAAAAAATATCAGGTATTTTAGCTTATTATTACGCCTTGTATCTGGCCTTTAATATCACGGTTGCTTTTCTCGAATTGCTCTCTTGTACATCGTGTTAAAATAAAGTTAAAATAAAATTTATAGAATTTATATTTGTGCAAAATTTGATACGCGATGATTGTGCGATACATAAAGAAGTTATCGACATGGTGTTGACAGATTTGTCAGATTGCAATTTCGTAAGCGTGATTCTGAAATTTATGCTTATTTTTTATTTGTTATACATACATATATATATGTATATATATATGTATATATGTATAATATATATACACGTATTATTGCGCGTACGTATTAAAAATGTGTAAATTTTAAAAGCATATCGAATAATACTATTTATCCTTACGCACTTCATCTGTCTTCACAAAAGGCCTCGTATCGTAATATGAAAAGAAAAAAGTATAATATGTATACATACTCGATACTTCTTCAAACAATTGAAGATTCCATGTATACAAGCTTTTTTTTACTATTGCCCATAAAAATTTTCCACTTAATCTCTACTTAGTTCGATGTTTGTGTTTTGTTGTGTTTCCGACGTTTGGCCGTACGTTAAATACCTCGATCATATAGTAAAATATACAATAAAGAAAGGACAATTATTAATTCTCAAGAACGTTTTTGCGCCCATTTTAGATCGTCGGCTCTAGGTTTGAAACCAGTGGACCACTCGATTATCACCTCCAAAGTGTACCAAAATTTAAGTTTTTCTAAAGGCCAGTTTAGCCATCCCGTAGTGATGCAAAAGTAAGTCTCGTGAGGTGCGACGTGGTGCACACGGTGATGTTTCCTCGGCAGGATAATCCTGAGCTCTTGAAGCCATATAACCCAACCAGGTAAACCAAAATACGTATGCGACCACTTATGTATCTATAAAATAATTGTATATCCCTTAATTTCCTGATAATATAAAAATAATTTCTAATATTGTTTAAATATTACGTTTAATAATAACATTAGAATACATCATTACTACTGTAGAAGATAATTTTACTAGAATTGAAATATTTACTCGTATATTTTTCTTATACTTATCTAATTAGACATTTACCTGATTAGTCATTGCTACAAAAATGGCAAGCAGGAACCAATAACACGTCCACACGAACTGTTGTTGCATTTCCGTTTCAGGTAACGTTAGAAAGTCCCACGTAAGTTTAGACAGGACTGGTATTGCGACCATAAAATTATCACCATTAGTTTCTATGAAATCGTGTCTCGTTATACTGGTAGGATCTATATGATGCTCGCGAAATGGTCGTAAAAAATTCTGAAAGGAAAGAAAAAGCTCTTCATAAATTAAAATTCATTCTGAAGCACTCGTTTTTACATTCTCGATACTTTACCTTTCCCAGGATTGGAAGTTCAACAGATCCCCAAGTATCAGCGGCCCAATGAACCAAACCGGAGCCAAAGTCAGCGGTGATGATACCGCACAGTGCAGCCATTGCTATGTAACTCAAATTTTCTAGTCGTAATTTGATGAGTACGAATACAGAGTTCACAGCTATCAGAGTGACACAAATACCCACACAAATACACTCTTGTGTTCTCTTTCCTGGAAGTATGTTATTAATATAATTTGTTATTATAAATACATAATATAAATACTTTTAATAATAACATATAAGCAATAACATGTATAGATATAACATGTATAGAATTCTCAAACATTCTGATCGTTATGCTAAAGTATACAAAAAGCGCATCTCTCATATCACGTATTCTTCTTTTAAATTCAATGAAATATACGTATAAATTCTTAAATACGTTAATGAATATTGTCTCTCTTTTTCTCGTGATGAAACAAAACCGTTCAAAGTGTGTGTACTGTATATGATTTTTAGAAACTCATAAATTTTAAGGAGGACAGTGGCATTTTATCATCGCTATGCAAATGCTTTTATATAAAACGAAAACAGTCGATATTAAATGACTGGGATAAGAAGATTCTACGAATCGGATACGAAGATTCTAAGAAGGTTTACGTACCGGTGCTGTATAGATTCGCGAGTTCTTGGGCACCTTTGTGGTTCGGACCCCACCTGGGTACAGTTCTGTCTTCTTGCGAGGTCGGTACTACTGAATTTGCATTAGGATCGTCCTCGAGCATCGAATTTTCGTAGATCTGCCGTTCGGTCTTCACCGGCGCCAGAAAATTGGTCGCCATAGAACATGCGGCCGATGCGGCCTGTCCTAGGTTCGGCACTTTTATATCCTCCATATTATCTAGCCGAGAAATTCTTGCGCGAAGTCTACGTGAACACACGATGATGTTCTAACATATTCCTTCAAAAGTCGGACGCATTTCGTAGAATTCGTCCGTTTTCCAACATCAGGAGATACAATCGCTCGTAGAATATCAAAGGCAATAGAATTTTTTTGTAATGCGTTAAATTATTTTGGGACGACCGTCACATTATGCACCTCCTTCAGTGTCCTCTCCCTGTCGTATGAATTATTTACTTCAATTCGTGCGATGAAATGACTTGTCAGTTCGCGCATTATCCTGAGAGTTTAGAGTCGTTCATCCGTTTAGATCTTCACTAATACAGATCTTCGATATTTTTCAGATATCGGACGTAACGGCAAGTACCTGCAATTAAATAACACAATCCATAATAGGAAGCTCCAGTCAAGATGATATTATCTCGACTTTATCATGATAATCGAGCATTACTTGAGTGTGTACAAAGATAATATTTCGATTGCTTTCTTCGGGGAATGTCGAGAGCTATGGAAAAAAATCTCAAAGTTGTCTCAAAGAAACAATCGACTCGAAATTGATCGAAGAATCAAGAATCCGTGATTCTCTCAAGAGTAGCAGCGTAGAAGGTCTCGCGCTTATGCCCGTTTCCACCAGTGCAGATTAATTTTAATCTCTTCTAGAAATCAAAAGAAGATGAAAAATAGGTTGAACTTAGATTAAATTTAATCTACATTGGTGAAAATGGACATTAGTGAGCAGTACTTTACACACATACTATATGTATATGTCCACGCAATGTCGACACAACTGATATTATCTAAATTGATATTATCCGTTCATACATCATTCGTACGCAATTACCGTCAAATATACATGACTACATGCATTTTGTATGTGGTTATCAGTCATTTACATATCGTAATTGCACTACGTAATATTGTAATGAATGAAACAAGTCGCATGCCGAAATATACGAAATTCTACTCAATTTCAAATTAGCCACTACGCGATTATAAAGTAGGTTAATTCCGCACTTACACGGAACCATGGAACATTATGTCTTCATATCTTCGCGAGTATCGCGTGAGTGTTCTCGGATTCACGCGACATCCACGACATTCGCGAGCCTCCTACGCTACATTAAAATGCTCGCGCGTATTCTTGTATGTTTGCATTAGCAATCCTCGAGCGTGAAACTAGAAAGTATCTATTTGTAAGTGTTAATGCGTTTACGTGAGGGAACAAGAATATAAGAACGTATTAATAACGATGCTTAATTATGTTCACGCATCTGAAGATTTAGTTGTAACATGCGAAAAATTCGGAAATCAGAAAAAAATTCAGAATTTCCGAATCGATTATTCTAATTAAATATACATATATAATTATTATCAAATACTTTTCTTAAAACACAGATCCTTTAATAAATTTTGAGTCGGTTTTTTTTTTAAATAAAGTTCTTGAAGTAATAATTATAGATTAGATAGAAATAATTTTAATCTAAAAACTTTGTGTCACAAAAATATGTAATATTGGAAACTCGAAAACTATACAATAATTATGAAATAAATAAGGATCTCCAGTGTTTTCGCTAAAGAAAAATTGACTTGGAGTCAGTCAAAAATATGCAATTCACATGAAATGTATTTGGGGGTATAAAAAAATATTCTACACATTATATTTCCATATTTACGTATATATTTTTTCAGGTATAACTAAAATAATGGAACAAAATCGTTCGGTGAAACGACTAATGATGAAAGAAAGGACGATATATCTATAGCACAAGAAAAAGCAAGTCCTTATTGCAAGTCTCTGTGTGAGGGCTCGAAGGATTCAAAGCCCTTAGAAAGTCGAGCATCGTCATCCGCAGGTGCAAATTGCCGCTCGAATTGATTTTCGAAATAGGTTGGCTTTTTAATGCGCCGTCGTCCAGCGAGACATCGCGTGCCGGTAATTAAACCGAAGGGTTAAAGGCTCTCGCACAACAACGTAACCGATCAATTTCTACGCCACTACGGGCGTATCGTGTACGTCATCATTCGCACGCGAAATTCACATCCTCGCGCTCTCTGGCTTTGCGGCTCGCTTAGCTTATCGCGGTTGCCCTGGATGGAGAGTGTTGATTTGCGGCGACACTCGTGTTATTAAATTAGAAAATCTTTACATTCTTTTTCTTTCAATACCACGTTTATTACACATTTCCGTGAATATAACACGTAAAACTTGTTCGATACTGAATGCTAATCTTTCTCTTAACATACTTGATAAAATGACAAAAATTATTTTACACTTGATACATATTAAAAACAACGAAATATTTCTCTTTAGGAAAGAACTATTAAATCCAAGTTTTATATATAACTCTTCTGCAATAATATGTAATCTCATATAATTAGCGGCCGAGAACTTAGCTAATGTGAAATTTATCGAATAAATACAGGGAAGAAGGACTGTAAACGCCACTGACGCTACGCAAGATTCCTACGCGACCGATTCATGTGCAGCTGCGAAAGTGAAATTAAAGGGAACGAAGAAGAGACGGTGAAGTGATCTCGTTTGAGCGCGCAAGTCGTATAATCTCCGTCACATTGTATGTTACATGATACGTACGTATACATCTTTTTCTACGGTTCAAAGGTTCGTATGCATTTACTCGCACACCACTTACAGGGAGACGTATCTCACGTTCGAAGCACCACCGCGTGATAGCTGATCGTACACACACAGGACTCGTGCAGGAGGAACAGCACGTTCTCATCTTGTTAGGATTCAAATATGAGTGTGCGCGCGCGTGTATACGTGCATACACGCCTTCACGCCTTTGCGAGCATTCTCCCGCGATGGGTAAGTGCATTCATATACGCATACGCAATGAGTCACAACAGTGTTTGTACTCCCATCCAGCTTGTCTCATCCCATCTAGCTGTTTGACTTGTGACTTCAAGCAATTGATGTCTTTGTAGAAGAGACAAAATTGTTATATGTAATACTATAATTAAAATTTCCAATAATATATACTCGTACTTTAATAAAATCCGAAGCGTAGAAATAAGAGCTTTATAGCAGAACAGAGATATCACTTTAGAGAATATAAACAGAACATAGTGTATAATCACTACATGGTACGTTAAAATAATCTAAAAAAAATATCAAATTTAAGACGATTTAACGAAATTCTGATATATTTCAATATAATTATGCGTAATAAATGTATCTAATTATAAGAGTTACGAATACTTTTGTGATATTATATTCTAATATTGTGTACGTAATTTCTTTTATTTTTACCACAAACTCTGAAGTATGATATTAATAGAGTTCTGCACGTTCTTATCGGTAAAGAGTCTCTTTGAAAATATATCAATTTTTTAGTTATATAATTAGCAGAGAGTATGAATATTCTTGTGATTCATTGTATGCGTATATGACTCGATCTGAGGGCATCGCCGTACATAGATGCAATGCGCACTTGAATAACGTATTCTGTTCGCGTATTCAATGACAGGATCGGAATTTTAATAGAAAAGAATTGAGGACCAATTTAATGTATAGGTATCGATAGATTTGTGCCGCTAGTAGCTCCATTTGAAAACTGTTCGCGGCGAATGGCATTAATTATTGATTTAATATATTCTATTAATAACAAAAATTATTTATATAACTGAAATATAAATTCTGCGTAGCCAGCAGAAAATATTTTCATAAATAGAATTCGCAATAAATATAATCCTATTAGAGATCTAATGATTCAATCTTTTTAAATAAATTATTGTTTTACCACGTTGTATAAATTGCTTGGATTATATAATATTTCTTTATATAAAGACTATCCATATAATTCGTCCCTCAATTGTGAGACACAAAGATGCTAAACCATTCTAAGAGCTGTCCAATTATATACCTACAACGAATAGTATTGTCAGTGAAACAAGTTTTGATCACATTTGAACGACTATAACGAAGAAGCTAAAAATAAAGAGTTAATTTATTTAACACATATACACACTCCTCTCACAGGATTCAAAAGGATTGACTGTGATGCATGCAATCAACTACCACTTGTGTTACGAACTGACACATGTACGTCATCTCGCACGTGAGCGAAGGTATACATCGGACACGAACTGTTGAAAGGATATATCATATTCTTTAACAAGGAGTACTTCACCGCTGAAGAATAATTTCCAACGGAGGGCTGCGACTTTCATTCAACCGAGGGTGAATCTAGGTAGACACACGTACACACGCGCGAAAATGTTCAATAACATACTTTCATCTTACTGGATTGAAACGTCATCGCTATCATATATATAACGAGGTAAGTTCACGGCGTCGTACCTCTCCTTGTTGTTGCCGGCTTCAAAGTGTCTCCTCGACGGCGACGGATGTTGACAGGATCGCCGACTTGCGACACGGCAGCCATGCGAGAAACGGTCTCGTCGCCGAGCTCAATTAGTCACTAGCAGGGTGGTTAGAACGATAAACCGACAATAACAACGGCGCGAGAGAAAGATAGATCGTCTTGCACCGGCACGGTGGCACGCACACACGTACACACACGGGCACCGACGCATCGCGCGTGTAACACGCGTGTGCCCGCGCAAGACGTCTCGCTCCACTCTCGCCGGCTACTCCCTGACAGTAGGCCGCGGATTCTTTAGGCTAGGATACTCGCAGCAGAGTCCTCAACCGGGTGACGACAACTCGAGCGACGAAGACTGGGTGTAGCCAGACGAATGAGAGCGACAAGGACTATACGTGCGAGAGTGTCTCCGGGAGAGCGTGCCGACGAGGAAAGCAACAGAGGAGTAGGCGAAAAGATATGAATGACAGAAAGAGAAACGGGGGAGAAGGAGGTGAGAGGGAGGTGACGGTAGGACGGGGGTAGGAGCGAGAGAGTCGCGAAAAGAGCGCGTGTGCGCGCTCGCGCTCGTCTCCGGAGTTTCTAGGAGCGGTCGAGAGCGTAAACGCGCGCGCGGCGACTGAAAGGTCGACCTGGGGGGATACCGACACGACGGAGGCTCGCTATACTGCCTTCTCGTTCTGTTACCGCTCGTTTCGCACCGCACCGCACCATACACCCCGTCACGTTTCCTCGCGACCGGCGCCGCCTGACGACAGCGTCGCGACGCCGTATCTCGTGGCGCCGTCATGCGGTCGACGCGCCTCATCGATGCGCGTCGTCGTGCGCGACTGCGGTGCACGGCGCGTGCACGCATCGACGCCTGTCGACGCCGCTGTGCGCGATCATCGTACG